GCGGCCAGCCCCTCGGCGCCGCGGAGCTCTGAGGCCGGGGGTGGTGGCGGGGACGCCGGTGCGGGCGCCTTCTGCCCCGCTCCTGCGGAGGCAGCGGGAGCAGAAGAGGAGCGCGCGGCCGGGCCTCGCCTCACGCCTCACGCCTCACAGCGAGGCATCGCCGGTCTGAGCTGCGCCCCCGAGCCGCGCGGTGCGGTGCGGAGCAGGGGCTACGGCTGTGGCGCGGGGCGGGGGGGAAAAGCTCCTTCCCCCTTGAACGGGTGGACCCTGGGGCCTGTGGTGTCACCCGGGAGGATTCCTGTTGCCCCGCGCGCCGGCCTGCCAAGTCCGGCTGCTGGACTCTGCCTGCTTCGTCATCCCTGCGCTCAGGGGCACGCAGGCCCCCCAGCCCCTTGTGCTCGTATTTTTGCATCGAATGTGGCTCGATTCATTTTCTGCTACGGTTACATATCTCCTGCTGGTGAACCAGGTGCTTTTCTTTAGGAGCGCCAAGTTCAGGTAGCAGATCTTCTGGTCTTTTTCAAGTTAGTTGGTGGCTTTTAAGACAGGCACAGTTAAAACTATTTTTATGTGCTTAAGTATCTGTTGCATCAGGATCATGTGACTTAAGCAGTCTGTTATGATCTTTGATCGTGAGCATAGTGTGAATGTGCTGTACAAAAATGCCAGTCTGAATCACAATGTACATGTAATACAGATGAAGAAAAAGATTTTATCAATTCAGTGCAATATAGGCACTCAATTATTTATATGAGAACAACCAGTGATGTGTCATGACTGCTTAGCTGTCTGCAGGGTTTTATTTTTTTTTCCCTTATTTCATAAAGTCTGTGCTCATATCAACAACTGCTGTGGCCCCTAAGGACAATATACAGCTAGTGTAATCCACACAAAATTACAAACTTTCTAGATATACCTTGTTACGAGTTTCCTACGTCCGCTTTTTTTTCCCTCTGTATGTGCACTTTTGTCATTACAGCTTAAAGTTCTTTGGTTAGCTTTTATCTATATCGTCTGTGTTAAGGAGGTATTTTACATCAGCTACTTTCTTTTTTGGGGGTGGGGGCAGGGTGGCTACAGTGGCTGAGAGCCATAGTATGTAAACACTAAATCAGATCGTGAAAATTATCTCGGTTGACCATTGCTCCAAATCATTCAAGCTTAAGAATAAAACCAAAAAGACTTTCACCCAGTGTTAAGATAAAATCTGTATATCACACAAGTTAATAAATGGCAAAGCGTGATTACATCTCTTCTGTTACTAAGGCATGAATGATTGACTTGGGATACTCCAGAGGTGTGTTTGGAAGATTAGATTTTGATTTAATGGTGGACGTTGTTTTAAAGAGACCAGTGTAATTGGGATTGATATAAGGAATTCTGCTTAAATCATCAGGTGCCTCAGGTACTTTGCGTACACTGATAATGCGATAGCCCTTAGTTACAGAACAGCATACTTACCCGGAAATAGCTGTATACCAGTTCACTCCTTGCTATTTAAATCCTGTGGCTAAATAAATTGCTAGTTGAAAAATTCCCTTACGCTCTTAGTCTTTGTTTTAGTACAACTTTCCCAGAAGCTGAGAACCTTTTTATCTCAAGTAGTTTCTCTTGTAGCCTACTACAAGGTCCAGGGTAATTTCTCTGGTTGGTGTTTCTACTTTTTCATAAAGTTGTTAATGAGGCAGTGTGGTACGGGTTTGACTGTATCTAACTCGCAGACAAAGGCAGGTCCGTTCTTCCCTATGAGTAAAGCAGTTTATTGCCCCAAGAATTGCAAGACTTGAAGGGTTCTTTTCCCCCTATAGCTTGTAACAGGTAGGCTGTTCTTATTTCCTGCCACCTTATTAAAAAAGTCCTTCGCTAAATTCTTGCTGTTGTGCAGAAAATTATTCTGGAGGTGGGCCGTGCCTGCACCTCTTTGTTTTGGTTTGTGAAGCAAAAATTGCTCAGTGAGTCCACAGCGATGGCTCTTAACTGTCTCTGACTTACGAGCATCAACACAGAACAAGTAATGTGTTAATAATGCTGCCATAGCACAGGAGGGTTTGGCCAACGTGAAGAGCAAAGGGTAGCATTGAAAACTCTTACTGGAAACTGTGGCTGTTGAGCCACTGTTCTTACAGGACTTTCTGACTTTAAACTTTGACCTTCTGCTTTTCACCACTCTTGCTTCTGTTATAAAACTTCTCCCACCAGTTATTGTTTATGGCTCAACTTAGTTCCAAGTTTCTATTTCCAGGGAATGATTTTAGATGCTATTTTGACTTCTCTTTATAAGAAGACTGTTTCTTTTTCTCTTTTAGCACTGTACTTGTGAGAAATGGGGAGTTAACTAACTGCAACCCTTATGTAATCAAAATATAAGAATAGCACTGCCTGTACAAGTGAATTAGAAAAACACACTGCCCCCCAGCCTTTCAAACTTAGCATCAAGCTTCTATTTGTGAACATTAGGGGAGATGAGAAAATTTGGTGTTTGTGACGTGCAATCAAAGAGATAAGACTGTTTATTTACTTTTTCTTGTTTACTCTTGAAGTATTTCAAGTTAATAGAAGCTTTAAGATCTGAAGACTTAAAAGCTAATAGTTCTTTTAGGATAGCAGTTAATGTACCATGTAAGTGAAGTAGTGACGTCTATAGTCTATCAATCTAGGGAATTTTGTTGATTATTGTTGTTACTTGTTTATTTGTTTCTTTTGTTAAACTTTTTCTCTGCTATGCCAATAACGGTTTGACTTTTCATAGATTTGAATCAATCTTATACTTTTTGTAATGGTCGTCTTAGTAGTATACCTGTGAGGACCTTTGTATATGTTCAGTCAATTATGGTTTACTATTCTGTCTGCTTTTTACAGTCTTTTATACCTCTGTTTCCTGGAGTTCCAGTAGTAGCTCTTTTTCTACCTCTGTATGGTCCATTCCAATTATTTTTCCTCTCTGGGATTGGAATGATAATTTTGTCTTTAATTTCTTGGGCCAGAAAATGGAATCATAATGCCAAATGGGGACATGTCTACCCCAAACTTTTCTCAAGCTTCCAGCTTCCTCCGTTTTTTACCCCCCTCCTTTTTTTTTTAGCACCTTCATTTTTTTTTTTTTTAATGTATTTTTAGCCAAAAGCATAAGCAGAAGTAGCGATAAAACTGATTATATAAAAGCAGTCATGTCAGCTCTTGCTTCCCTGGCTGTGTGGATGTAGTGCTGTGTGCAGAAAGCTCTTCATTAAAGTTCTGCCCTGTGGAGTGCCCAATGGGGAAGCTGTTCAGATGAACATGAGGGAATGTGAGATGTGATAATAGAACATATGTGCAACTCTTTGAGTTCCTAAAGGTATTTTCTCTATTTTCCCCCAGATTCATCATTTTTGCACTTCCATGAATCGGATTGCGACATAGGAGGGTCTTCATCTTGTGAATCTGTGGTTTCTTTCAACACAGAAAAAATTCTGGTATGCTCTCAAGAATATAATGTACAAAACAATTTTTAATAGATTGTTGATGTCGCAGATCACTTTAGCTGCATAATCAGTTAGAACGAAATTCAGGCAAATAACTACAAATAGCATCTGTTGTTCAGTAGGCATAGGTCCCCAAAAGGCTTAAGAATGAATGAACTCAAGTTGCTCATGAAAGTATGATTTCGTAGTACTTCATCATGAGTCTCTAGGGCTGTCAGCAGTTTCAACTAATTGAAGCTGATGTTTCCACTGAAGGCTAACCTTCACCTGGATTAGTCTACCAATTTTTTATTTTTAGGGGTGCAGGGGCTATGACTGAAAAAGGGAAAGGTGTGTTAGTTTTTACCCAGATTAACTACCTGACGAGGCTTACCACAAAATGCGTGTAAGAGTAGGAGTGATAACATGCAATCGCTACAGAAATAACATTGTGCACAGATGATAGAGTTATAGGCTTCAGACCATATTTCACTAGACGTAATACAGACATGGTATGTGGAGAATATTCTGATAAAAGAAGAGTATCTCTTGGTAGAGAGACTTCAAGAGGATTATTTTGGAATTTGGGTTTTCTTGCAATGCTACTGTTAACCTATTGATCTTGAACAAACGTAATCTTCAGTCTACGTTAGAACACAGGTTTGATGTTACTTCTTCAGTCCAGTAGAGTTACAAATATTGAAAATCTTCAAATAATTCCCATGTGAATATACAAAGAAGCCTTGGCAAATTTGTAGAAATTATTGGCTATGGGGGAGCGTGGAAACAATATTCTATTTCAAAGCGACTTTTCCAAAGGTGGCATTTGGAAATAAAACTACTCTACCGCAAATCCACCAAGCCAATTATTTAACTTCAATATTCTCCATAGACATTACCTCATCACATATTGGTCTGATCTTCTGTCTAGTCTAGTCTAGCGGCACCAGCAATTCTTTCTAAGGCAGTGAAATGTATATTAGTTTCTTAGAAATTTCCCTGTTTCAAAAAAAAAAAATTGTTTTGAAGAGAGCAACCGTTCAACCTGTCGGGAGCTGGTACTGTGATGAAAATTCTCTCATTTCTTGAAGGCAGAATGACTCGCATTTTGGCATCTAGAGCTGCAGGATGTCTAACCTATAACTGGATTCAGAATTTGTTGAAGAAGTATGGATCCCCTTCCTCCCCCACCCCAAGAACCAAACACTATTCTGTTATTCTATGATAACAAAACAGATGAGGTCGATGAGGGCGGGGGAAACTGTGTGGTACTTCTCTTGCTGAGTGCAGCTCTGTAATTCATAGGATATTAATGTAATGCCAGATTCTTTTGGTTGTAGCTTATTTTCCAATACCCAGTGTGGAATCTTGCTGTATCTTATCTTGTGTCCGCAGGCAAAGAAGTGTAGGCCTTTTTTGTAAATCCACCAAAGAAGAGGTTGTACTTCAGTAAAATGATTTTTTTCTAATGTTAAGACAATTACAGATGAATAATGTTTTGCAGAGTTAAATATTGAAGATCACTTTCTGAAGTAGGTTTTCTGGAAATTACCTAAAGGCCATTGATGATATGAAAAGGTTGTGTTTGGAGGTGTGTGATTTGTAAATATATATGGTCTGCAATGTAGATTTAGTTCTCTAACTGGTATACTTGTTGAAGCCTGCTCATTCTTGTGCTGTTTTTTAATGACTTTTTTTCTATGAGGAAAAGAACTTTTCCATTCTGTTACTGTCGGTGCAGCACTAGGTGGAGTAATAATTCTCAGAACGTTATAGTGTAATGTAGAGCTCATACATGATCTCTAACAAACAAGGTTTGTAAAATCCAATTTGCTAATCGTTCATACCCTCCAAAATACTCAAGTTTTAGAGCAGACCAAACTTTCTTCTCATTCCTAAGATTATTAGATGAACAGGGCAGAAACTGTGCAATGGGATTTGGCCAGTTACTTTTGTGCTTTGTAGATCATTGAAATGTCTGTCATGGACACAAGTAATGAGGCTACTTTCTATTGAACAAGCCAAAAAAAGTGGAAGGGAGGAGGACAAAGTGCAGTCCTCTCAGTAGAGGAAATGATGAGTTAAATATGTTCTCTGAAGTTTAAGGTGTTTAACTGCCTTCTCTGAAGTTAAAGATGTACGTATGTGCTGTTTAGCTGAAGCAAAAGAAGAGAACTGAGCAGTGAGAGAAGTTATCTTTTCCTCTTCTTGCTTCCTAGAACAGTTTGGAAGGCTTATTAATTAAATTAGCATTTTGTATTTTTCTAACATAAACTGCTCTGGTAGGCTTACAGCTGTCTATTAAATGTATTTCTGAGGGGTTGTCTTTGGCAGTCTTGGTTTCTGTAGGCGCATTATTTGGGGAATAGAAATCTTAGATGAGGCTACCATTGGCTGAACAAAGTCTATAACTGATAGAAGGTTATTGTTGAAAGGACAGCCTTTTTACTTTAGTATGGCAGTGTTAAGTTAAACTTGTCTTTATTGCTGGAGTGATATTCTTCTCAGTGTTTCTTTTACTCCTCTGTAGTACCCTTCCCTTCGCAGGAGACAAAGGAATAATTAATGGGGTAAAGAGTATAAACTTTCCTATGAAGTAGCATGTGTCTTAAAAAGACTTCCAAAACTTCATGTTAAGTAGATGTAATATAGAAACATCAGCCACTGGTAAAATGCTGACAATGTCCTTTCATCGGAAAGGTTTGATTAGCCTTATGTTAGAGAGGATAACAGCAGCACCTGACTGAAGAGCAGTTTTTCTCCCTGTAGAAAACTAGGAATGAATTTGTTTTCAGTTACCTTAAAGCAATCACAATAGTCTTAACTTTTTGATTTAAGGCATTCTCTTAAGGATTTAAAACATGGGTTTTCTATTAAATTCTTTACTGTTGTTTGCTGAACACTTAAAAAACATGATGTTTTACAGAGTCAAGCGAAGTTGCTTGCAGAGCAAAAACGATTTCCATTTGCTACTGATAATGACAACACAAATGAAGAATTGGGTAAGATGCCTTATATAAGGTTTGTGCAGGTGAATTACGTGCTAGTTATTAGCACTGAATGTTTTGAAACTAAACTGATGATTCCTTAGTGATGCGTTAATTTTAAAGTGATCCTAATAAACCTGAAAATACAGTGAGTTTTCTCTGGTCATACAAAGAAAATATGTATCTCTCTTCCTAAAAATCTTTTCTCCTTTGCTCACTAGAATTCTTCACCATGTCTGCTTAAGCAGGTGTTCAAAAAGCATTTTGATTAAATCCTGTTAAACAGTCTCAGCTATTTCCTGCTTCCCTTTTTCTGTCATTATTGATGACTAAAACTATTCAAACATCCAGAAAATTTTACCAATGGAATATGTTTTCTATCAAGTGTACATCTTGGATCTGTATTCCCATCTCCACACACTCTTCCCATCAACGCTTACAGGCAGCAGGAAGGCTTTCTGAATTATGTCCTTATACAGGCTGCTACTCGATGTTTTTTTCAAAGCACACTCAGCACAGAAAATGGAGGCATTTCAAATAAAGCAACAGGAAATACTTTTCTCAGAGGACTTGAGGAAGGAGTTACTTGCACTGCTTCTCCAAACTGGTACCCTCTATAGGAAGCAGAGGTATTATGAGGCAGCAAAGAGATTGTTGAGGATGTATGTCAAGGAAGGCAGCAGACTGTCTTTTATATAAGAGCAAAGGGAGACTTCACTGATAGGTTGTCTAATGAAATTAAAACAATTGAGTAGTTTTTTATTGACATAATTTCTGCCTTCACAGATTTATCCAGGATAATTTGGGGGCTTAATCTTTTTTCATATTCCTAGCATACCTATGTTCATAGAATCCTGCAGGGAATACCGAACTTCCTTCCAGCAGAAAATATTTGATGCTTTTAGTATCTGCTCTGTAGACGTGGAAGACTATGCCAGAAGGTCCCTATGCTCATGTTTGACCTGTAGGCTGGCACCTACCTACCCACTTTATTTCAAGTATGTCATGGTGTGAGGAACCTGGGTCCTTCTTGTTTGTGCGTGTTACTTTTAACTGTTCTGAGGAAAAGTAGTGTGAGATGTACGGGGCATTCTGAAGCAATGTTGGTACCAAAACACTTGGGCTAATGGACCATTGTTAACCCTTAGATTTTTCATAATAAAGTAGTTGTATTTTCGTAGTATTTAATTAAAGATGAAAAGATTAATCAAAGAGGTAACATTTAAAAAGAAGCTGATACTGTATCAGCTACTAGCTGCCCATCAATTGCCGTAGTTTTACAGACATAGCCTACAACCTCCTGCGTTTTGCCAAGAGTCTTGGATAAACAAAATAAACTCATTATCAGCAAGACAATGAGTCTTATCTTGCTTCCTCCACTTTTTTCCTTAATACTGGCATGGTTGAGTTGGTTTTATTTTACGTGCCAACTGTTCTGTGTTCTGGGATTGGAACTGTAAAGATGATACTAAGAACTGTGTAGTCTTGGAGGAGATGAAATGAGGAAAATTCAAGAGCTCTTCAACCTGTCCTTTGCCTTGCCAATTTTCTTTCCTTTTTTGGCAATGCTATGTATCTGTACCAAGTGAGGCTTTTTATGTATTGAGGAAAAAGCTTATGTTGCACACAAATACTTCCTTCTGCATAACAGAAATGCTCCAAGAATGAGGCAAGCTCTGGATTAAATACATTTCTTATTTCTCTTTCATTTAACTTTTTCCCTCCTTTAATGAACAGTGCTTGGCAACACTGCCAAAACAATGTGGCTCTGCCTATATGGAAGATAAATGTCTGTGTCCTATTAAAAATACCTTTGTTCTAACTGGCTTATTCGTCTCTCCTCATGTTTGAGTAAATAATTAATCTGATAGGTGCCTCTTCCATTCTGTTTGGATGACTGCTAAAACTCATTAGAAGTATGAGGAAAGGTGAATTCTCACTCTTAGTTCCACTGTCAGCCATTTGTGCGAACTGCCTGGGGAAAAGTTGTACTTTAACCTTCATAGCTCTGGTCTGCAAGATACTTGGATTTTGTGGGCAGTGTAGACAGAGCTTAGTCCAGAGTTAAGAACTGTGAGAGATTAAAACATGTGAAATGAAACAATCTTGAGATATTCAGCTGTCAGAACTGAACTTCAGTCATGCAAGCACAACTACAGCTTTCCAGTCTTGTGACTTGACTGTATTTTTATATCCTGTGGAGATTACAGGAACATGTTTCTAAAACAGTGGTCTGTTTCTTTTTCAAACACTTGGCCTCTACTCCAAAGCAGGGGGGATATGCAAGAACTTTAAAGATTTTCATAATTTTAACATGGGTAAAGATTCTGTAGTTTTTCAGTCTCATTTTTAAAATAATGGAATCACTTTAGTTGAGGTTTTTCTAGATAATTCAAATGAAGGAAAGACTTACTGTGAGCTAGTAAAGTTTAGCAAAATGTGTACAAACAAGTACAATCAGATGTTCTCTGATGGAATTGTAAAAAAATGTTAGCCAGTGTTAGCCAGGCTCACTTATAATTGAGAAAGCAGCTATGGCTACTAAATGGGATCATGGTACCTTTCCTGGTCCTAAATACTTCAGAAGCAAACACAGACCTTTTCCTGAACAACTTGTTTGGGGTTTTTTCTCTCCTTTTTACAAACCACAACCCCCAAACCCAATTCTGTTCAGCACAGTATGAACTGAATAATTAACAAATCCTAGGTAATGGTTGAGGGAAGTCATTTCAATGGCAGTTCAGAAATCATTTGACTACTTAAATCTTCAGTGCAATGTAGGAACTTACATTAAGTACAACCAAATCGTAAAATGTATTAAAAAAAATCAGGATTTTTTCTGTTTTATTTACATTTCTAATTTTTTGTTAGCAATTGCTTACGTGTTGATTGGCAACGGCTTGCATGATGAAGCCATACGACATTTTTCAACAATGCTGCAGGTAAGTTTTCTGTTTGGACCCCTAAAAAATCACTTTATGAAATTATCCATTACAACATACAGCTTTTACTAAAGCAAAGATTCAATTAAGCATTTTAAAATGAGGGTAATTATTCTATGAGAGTAATTATTCTATTATTTGCTCATTTTTTTTCCATCCAAACATAAGCATACTCTTAAAATCAGGTGATTCAGTATCTTTGTTATTTGCTGAGTACTTTTTATGGCACTTTGGGGGGAAAAAAAAAAGCATCTTCAGAAACCTGACCTGTGCAAAATTGAAGTTCCTTTAATTGCCCTCTTAATGTGTAGGCTGAGATATTTTGATGTGGATTTTTTTTGGGCGACTGTCAGCATGTTGCCAGTAACATCAGAAAAAAAAACCAACAGAGATGACTTGTTGCTAGTGGCAAGTACTGCATTGCTTTCACGATGATAAATGATTTTGTATGCTGGGTTTATCCTTCTTATTCAGTGGTAAGCATTTGATGAGTTTAATATGCCAGTAAAACATAACTAATACTTCAACATTTTTTTTTCTGACCAAGGTAAAGAATTCAGAATCTTCTATGACGTAGAAGGTAGCCACTTCTAAAACAAAACAAACCCCAACAGTTTAAAAGCTTCAATTAAAGCTGATTTCAAAATACTGTGTTTTTATGGCTAAGAACCTGGGACTACCAGAAGCATGGACCTGCTTTTTGATCTAAACTGGTTGTAGTACATAAATGCAAGCTGGAAGTAATACTTCAAATACTAGCATGCTTTTTTTTTTTTAACTCAAATGTCATATGGCTTGTACTTAAATTGAGTGAAAGTGTGGCAATTTAGTGAATTATTCCAGGGAATTTATCAGAGGACCAGAATGTTTTTTGTTGGGTTTAGGTGTTTAGTGATCTCTGATTTGTTTTTTATGTGAGGAATGATTTTTTCTTTTTACCCTAATGAGTAATCCTGCTTCAAAAACCACTGGACTTACACAATGTTTCCTGCCTTCTCTTCATTAAGAAGGGAACTTAATATATGTGAAGATAAGCAAGATACAGCAACTGTAGAAAGATATTGTGAGAAGTGTGTATATAGTAGAGTCCCTTTGCAATGCACACTTCTCAGTTGAAATGAATGTCGTGCTTATTGTGTGCCTGAAAGGCTGTAAAGTTGTTGACTCTGTCTTCCATAAGGCAATTTTAAATACATATAAAGTGAATATTAAAACATTTAACAGAACAAAACAGCCTTACTTAGCTGCTGTATTAAAAGTAGGGAAGTTACCTGAAGGTGATGTTGGCAAGTGTAGACCTGGAATCAGCTCAAGTCTGGCAAGCTGCTGGCATTGGTGTATCTGTTGTTTTGTCAGTGAAATAATTTGTTTCTTGGCAGTTGTCCCAGTTAAATGAGACCAGGTCTATGCTACAAACTTTTGTAGCACAGCTGTGGTATTGGGTGCAGGTGTGAAGATGCGGGATTCATGACTGGTTTTCAGGGAAACTGACTGCATAGACATTGTTGTGCCAAGAAAACTGGTTTTGCTGTTGTGGTTCTTCAAATTTGGATGGCGAACCATGGCTGGAGTAAATAACATTGAACAAGAAGTAGATTCACTGTGTAAGATGCATCCCCTTAAGTGCCTGAGTTGGTAAGCCAGGGACTTATATCTAACCCAAGGAAGGTGTGTTTGAATTTTGCAGAACTATTTTGGCAGAATACCTCTAGTTTTAGTTGCTACCTGAGTACAGATTTTGTCAGGATGTCACAATTTCCTGCTTCCTAATTTTAAATCTTAAATTTAAATTATGAACAAAACAAGCTTTGAATGGCTGAATTGTACTTGTTTATTATCACTTCAGTGACACAAGAAAAAAGAAGTCATATAATTACCAATAAGGTTACAGATAATGAAGTTTGGACAACAGACTCTACTAATGTGTACATAGCTTCTGATAGGTGGTCACTGACACTATAACTGCACTCTGTTTAGCTTATCTTCCAGGCAATCACAGTTGTCAGGCAAAGAAATTCAAATACATATTGAAGAAAGATACCTTTTTAAAAAAAACAAAACAAAACAAAAAAACCCCACACAACTTATTATTGTATTCATTTTTTAATCTTAACAGGAAGAACCAGAGCTGGTTAGTGCCATTTATGGACGAGGGATAGCATATGGAAAAAAAGGACTACATGTGAGTAGATAATTATTTAAATTAACATCTGACTAAATTATTTGAATCCAAACTATAAGAAGGCCTGTAACAGGAGGAGCTAGAGTGATTAGAACTTGATAGGTACATCCCGAAGTCTTTGTGCTGTCCTACTATAATGATGTGTCCATCCCTTGGTAGGTCTTCATAACATAGAGGGATCTAGCAGATCATACTGCGCAAGCCACGGGTACGTTTGCTTTGTGGGACTGTGGAAGTAAAGCAGCGTGAAGCAAGGGTGCCAAAGGAGAATATAGGCACAGTTGTGAGTGGTAGATAGTAAGGCTGGGAGCCACAACCACTTGAAGGAGTTACGTAATAAGATAATAGGCAGTACCTTGCCTCTGAGAGGCAGGTTTATGAAGTCCCACTGAATTTGTCTCCACATCTAGTCTGTATTTGGAAACAAAAAAGTCTTTTATTGCAACTTGGAAACATCGTCAACTCTTGCAATCCAGTAGGCTTTATATTGCTTCATGATTGCCTATGCCTCTTGATACGTATACCACCTTGAATTTGTTAAAAAAAAAAAAAAAAAATTCAAAGTTACTTACAGTTACAGCTGACTGCTCAAACAATTTCCTGAGCAAAAATAAGTTTAAAAGTAGACTATGGCCCTTGTAGTTTGAGTTTGTGGCCTGTTGAATCGTGATTGAATGGTTGCTGGAATTCTAGAAGAAAGAATAGTTAAATAACTGTTTGAAAATTTCTTTTGTGCAGAATATTTAATTCTTTAGTGGTGCTGACTGGAGCTTGAAGTCCCTCATATTTGCATGTTGTTAACACCAGCCTGAGTTTGTTTTCTCAGTTCGGCTAGATGTTGAGATAGCTTCACCTCATAACAGTTTCTGTCAGTGACACCTTCAAGATACAAAGATGATGTTAGCACATGCAAAATTTCTTTGCCTTGAAAAAGAAGAAAAAGATCAATGAAGTCTAATACAGAACTTGCTATATAACCAGCTTGGATTTTTTTTTTCCCAATTAAGTAACTGCTTTCATCCTACAGTTTATTGAGGACAATATAAAAATTTAGATAGGCGAGATGGTGATGACATCAACCCGTTCACCAGTACTACTTGGATTAAGTTACAGACAGTACGGATGAAAACACTGGTGGGTGAGAGTATGCGTGTGTGTTGGAGTTCGTGTGAGAGCTTGAGTCAGCTTTGCTGCCAAGAAAGGTACCTGTGGAGCCGTAAACCTAATGTTTATTCACAGAGTTATATTAATAATTTATTAGAGGTACAGCACAAAGATGATGTGTACAAGCAAAGTTTATTTTTTCTTGTTTATAGCAGATGGGGGGGAGGTGTTCAGCTATTTGTAGAATACCGCATTGTAATGCTATTAGCAAAGGTGTGAAGGGCTTTTAATGTAAACTGATATACTTTCAGAAACTTAGCCAATCTAGTTGTCCTTCACTCTTCATAGTATATTACTCTTAAGTATGCACAGTTGTTTACCTTCCTTATTTTTCTCCTTTTCAGGATATGAAAAATGCTGAACTTGCTCTGTTTGAGCTCAGTAGAGTGATTAGTCTAGAACCAGATCATCCTGAAGTATTTGAACAGCGAGCAGAAGTGAGCATTTCTTGTCTCTTTTCAGATTTTTGGAGAAGTTGCAATTATACAGTATTTTCAAGTATTTCTTCACTGGTTTAATGACTAAAGCTCTTGTGTTTTTCTGTGGCCATTCCTCCTTTCTTTTAAAATATACATATTTGTTCTCAAACAGTGTAATCTGTGGAATGTTTGTTTTTAAAGTGAAACATACACCATATGGAGTTACTATAGCCAATAGAATAGCATATATTATGTCTAAATGTTTAGTTTTTGACATACTATGTAGCAAGATTGTGTGTGTTTTAGTGTTTTTAATATAATGAATCAAAATATCACTTGAACCTTATTGTTTGCACTTGGTGTCACCTTAGTAAATTTATTGTTGGGACTAGTTGGTAAAATGCCAAACTTGTAAAGAATGAGTTTTTAATCAAATGTTTTCGTTTTATATTTGTGCGCATAAGTTAAATATCATTCAAATACACAAATATTTTTCATTTTGAAAATCATGTTTTGTTTTACCGATTAAATTACAGAAAATGGATTTCAAGAAGCAGCCTTGTAGACAAATCAAAAGCTTAAATATTTATTAAAGTCAGCACACTGTATAATGATAACTGCCATAATATGAAATTATAATTCACAATTTTCATGTTTTTAATGATTTGTTAATACATTTGTTAATAATCTTGATCTAAAAATGTGAAAGGCATTCAAGTAATTGGAAAATAGACTATTTTCCATTGGGGAGAATATTTTGTCAAAATAAAAAGATTTATGAGAGTACTTCAACTACATTTTCAGTTGAATGTGTTGAAATAACTTAAAATAGAGTATTTTGCTTTGGCTGAATTGTTTTTATTTGGAATACTAGGTTTCTGCGAATGTTACTGGTGATTTTCATGTACACTAATATTTTTTTGGAGAAAAATGCTTTCAAATTTTCCCTTTGATAGGAGCTTAAAAGCAATAAGTACTGAAATTTATAGTAGAACTTTCCAGCCTGTTCTAGCAAATACAGTTACTCTGTTACAGCTGAACATGAAAAAGAATAATTTTCATATTTCTAAAACAAATCTATTCAGCCTGTTTGCTCTGAACTATGTTTTTGTTTTATATTCTTAGATATTGTCCCCACTAGGACGAATCAGTGAAGCATTATCTGATCTCACCAAAGCTATTCAGCTACAACCATCAGCACGGCTCTACAGGCACAGAGGTACCCTTTACTTCATATCTGAGGTTAGTGGATTTTGGGGATTCTGTTTGGTTTTGGTTGTGTGGATGTTGTTGATTATTTTCTTGTTGTTTGTGCCAGTTGTGTTACTTTTGTTCAAGAGGTTCTTTCCTATTTAAATTAAAAAACAAAATAACAACAAAAGCCCTGATTTTCTTGTAGTTGACTTTCTGACAGTTCCGAGGTATTCTTCAGGTATTTAATCTGCATATCTATTTAATGCAGAGAATCAGAGGGCAAGTACCTTGCATGCACATCTCAGATTGTTTTGTGTATTTGAGGAGTAAGGTATGGATAAAGAATTTGACTTGATTTATAACCTACAGCTGCATTTGAGTAGTATTGTTAAATGCCAGTCTAAAAAGGAAAACAGTTATGGCTAAGGCAGTAACTGCCCTATATACTTACCACCACCCCACCCCCCAAGAAACAAACAAAAAAACCCTACAAAAATGCTAGCATCCTATTTTGCTATGTAATCTGTGTGTGTTGTTCTTACACTTTAATGTAAAACAAGTAATTTTATCTTCAAAGATTGTGTGAATACTAAATAGCTGATTTCCCACTTTATTCTTCTGATTACACTCTGTTTGTTTCCAGCTATTTTTCCACCTACTTTACTATGTTTTATGTAGTGCTTGCTGTAAAAGTTGGAAGTGTGTTGTGCATTCCTTATTCTTTGATATTGTGACTGGCAGTTAACAGTCATTGCTGCTTAGGCCTGAGACTGACTTCATATATTAAACAAAATTCTGTAGTTTAATTCTATGAAAATAAAACTATGTATTCCTCTTTATTTGTATGGTGTTTCCTCTGTCATTTAAAATCTACTTTATTACAGGATTATGCAACAGCCCATGAAGATTTTCAGCACTCATTGGAACTGAACAAAAATCAGCCTATAGCTATGCTTTATAAAGGCTTAACCTTTTTTCACAGAGGACTTCTGAAGGTAAAGCTATGTTGAATAATAGTTCATGTAGGACAATACTCTCTATTTGAAGTTACTTCTACAAAATAGTAGAAATATCATAGGTGTTGATATACATATTTTTCTCTCACATAAGGAAGACTTTTTACGGCAAAAGAGTGCAACCAAAATGAAAGGTGCCACTGCTGACTGTCATACTTCATGGTATGACATGTAAATACTGCTGGTCTTGCTGGATCTTGGTAAATCACTGATAACTGACGTGTTTATGGAGTGTTTTGAAAGATGTTTGTATTTGGCACCTCTGCTAATATCTGTATGGTAAATTCAAAATTTCCTTCCATGAAATGGAGACTCCCTAGGTTTTGTGAAGGGGAAAGGGATGAAGAGGAAAATAATTTTAAATTCTTCCTTGAATAAGCTAGAAGATAATCAAGGAAATTGCTGATAGAGAGCCCTGCATCTGTGTGTGTGTGTGTGTGTATTTCAGTTACATGTTGATTCTGAAATGCTCGTATCTAAATTGAGGGAACATAATTGCGCTCTCATATTCTAAAATCAGCAGGGAAGTAAGTTCTTCCCATGCTTTTTTTAATATTTCACCATTTTCTGACTCAAAACTTCTCTATGTTTTAGGTGTAGTAATATTGCACCTGTTTCTTGCTTGTAAAGTATTTAGAGATACTGCTGCAGTTTTTCTGAGGGGAGAGTAATTAGACAAGTTGTCCGAAATCATCAGTTTGGAAAGTGAGGATGCAACTGTGTGATTCCTAAATTCCAACAGAGTGGAAGCCTTTTTTTTTTTTTTTTTTTAACCTCTGCTAACAGCTCGGGATTCACTAACGGTTGTGTGAAGAAATCCTGACAGAACCTGAAGACAACCCAGGACTCCTGAGTTTCAGTCCACTATCTTTCATAGGCAATCACTGCATGTTGTTTTTTTTTCCCTTTTCCTTTTATTTTTTTTTCTTTTTTTCTTTAGCAGCAAACAGGCTCCTTCTCCATTTTCTTAGTACCCAAGCTGGTATTTTTTCCCCACACTCTCAGTGTATGCTGTGAGAACTTTAGGCTGTCATTGAACTTACTGTCTGTATCTTACTGCAGTCAAATGAGTTACTTGCAAATAATAGTCTGATTGAATTTCTGATTTTTGGTGTAGGCAGCAGAGAGCCCAGAAAGTGATGGTGGAAATATAACTGACAAGGATAAATAATATCTCAATTTGCGAAACAGAAACAATGTTTTCTTTCTGATCGACACATTTCTGCACCACCACCTCCTTCCCTCCAATTTCTTTTCTCAAAGGAAGTGTCTTCCCTCTCTCACATTCAAGTTCTGAGAGGTTGTGACTGAGTGGCTTTTCATCCCCAGGTATACCTTAGCTTCCAGTCAGGTTCAGACTGCCTCTTAAAGGAAGGCTGTACACATCATCTGTTAGGTTTTACCAGGCTTGCTGAAAACTGAGATTTGAGGTGAGGGTAGCAGAGTGTTCATTTTTCAGTCAAAAGAGATTGTTGGTTTTGGATCACTACTTTTGGGAATAATCTTTTTGGATTTAAAACTTATCTAGAGGACATGAGCCTATCAGTAATGGTAGGTGATTATCTTATATTTTTGTTCAGTAGATATTTTTGTGCATGTTGTAGTGCTCAGAATATATTTGATAGTTTTTCTGAATAAGAATCTCTAAATTGACTGAAGATACTAATGATGCTTTCCTTACAGCATTTAATTTCTTGCACTATAGACTTCAAGATACTTTTCAGGCATTCCTTCATAATATAATATAGTTGATTATTCCTTCCTTAATTCTAAGTCTCAGTACTGCATTTGCCAATTTATATAGCCAGTCCAGTTTAAAAACCTGAGTTCTTAATCAAATCCTTTGAATCGGAAGATTTGTTTGAACATATGCATATAATTATTTTTAGCTGTTTTATTTTTATTACATTATATTCCTCACAGCAGTAGTACATGCTACTGTGTGAAGATGATCACTTACTCTCTAATCCCTCTTAAGAGAGTTTGCTAACTGTGCAACTAACACAGAATGCAATAAAAAATGAAAGGCAGAGTACAGATTTGAAGGAGTATTTTGGACTGCAAAAAATAAGAAGTGTATTATGAATGAAGAAGGAGGACTAAGGAGAGACTGCTTTGCCTTAGGGACCAGACTGAGCTTTGAAAGCAAACTCTGTAGGGATTTAATCTCTGAATGTTATTAAAATGCTAATTCTTTCCCATAGCATATTAGACAAAGGAATTCCAGGTAAATCTGTCATTACCGTAAAGAATGTTGCAATATTTCATTTGTTATATGATTATTATTACTCTATAGATTTCGTAATAAATTCATGCCTTGTTTATTTCTTCCAAGGGTTTTGCCAAATAACTCTAAATCCATATCTAGTAACTACTGAGGATGCTAAAATTAAATGCATGCAGTAAGGGACAAGTTTTTCTGTTGATGTCTTTCTATAGGAAGCCATTGAATCATTCAAAGAAGCTCTGAAGCAGAAAGCAGACTTCATAGATGCATATAAAAGTCTGGGACAAGCCTACAGGTAATTGCATTCAGAAATAGTTTTAAAGTCAGTTTTCTATCTGATGATGTTCTTTAAAATGCACTCTCAAGTTTTAAATGCTTGTTATAAAACCGTGCAGAATCATATGTGTATTTGGTAGCTCCTACAGCCAGAATGGCTATGTCAGGATATGTTCAATATAAATAATTTCTAGGTTTGCTGTGTATTTTTAATTCAGTCCCCAGTAGCTGTTTGAGTCTCCCAGACTCAAAGGTTAGGTAAATGGCAGTTTTCAGTAGGACATGTTTTAGGTATGCTAAATGATTTTTCTAAATGATGAAAATGTTTAGTATGAACTGTTGATTAACATGCTCATTAGTTGCCATCTGAGATTATTGTGCTACTTAAATTTATTAAAAACTCATTGCGTAGCGCATATAATTTTATAGAACTGCTAGATCCTATATCAGTTAATCTCTCACCAAAGAGATTTACAGTTCTGAGAATTCAGCTAATTTCCTGTTTAGGGTTTTTTTTTTTAAATACAGACATGTAGTTTCTTTCCTATTAATCAAATAATTAAAAAAAGGCAATTTCCATTTAGAAGGGAACTAGTCACTTTTTTCCTCTTTTAATTGAAATTAAAGATAAAATAATTCATAGTTGAATAAATTGTATTACTTTAAAGTTGGTCTGCAGATAATCACTAAGGAGAGAAGTAAATATAGCTTGTATATAACAAGACAAGAATATAACATAGTCAGCAACTGAGTATCTCTGCCCACAGTAGTTCTTTTCCCAACCTGCTGTGTCTTGTCGGCTTTTTACTTCCTGTTTTAAATTTTTATTTTTGGAGAGCACTGATGTACAGCATAGATGTTGCTGCAACATAAATGGCTTTTGTGTAGCAAGGGTTAAGTTGGGTAGGGTTGGTGTGCAAGCATTACATGATCGTGTGCTCTTTTTCTTCAGGCTTTATGCTTCCTTCAGCATACAGAACATGCAATATTCACTAAAGGCAGTGTCAATTAAATTTTTTTTGTTATTTTTTGCTTTGTGGACTTGTGCCTTATTTACCACAGTATCTAAATTCTGAACTCAATGTAGAATCACTAATTTCTTCATGAGTTTTTCTGTGATACTTGTTATTGCAATGTGTAAGTACTTTCAAGGTACTAAATAATAGTCATTTAGCCTGGAAGATGGGCAGTTGCCTTCTTACATTTCCAATAAATGCTTTAACTTTTTTGTTTTGTTTTTGGATGTGGGACTGCCTCTCTAGTTGATCAGCTGTTCTACCCTGTGCCCAAGAAACCTTAATGTGAAGAGGTTTTATTTTGAAGGAGAGAAAAAAGCAAGCCTTAAAATGTCGTCTCATTTTGCACTGCATTGTTTTTTTACAAAGCAAAAGTCACTTAACCAGAGTATTCCTAATCAGCTTAGATCTGTTGCTTTTATTCCCTCTCACTGTCCCCTGCCTCCAAAAGTTCTCTGATTCTCAGGAAATAATAGGGGAAGGAATGTAAAGAAATCTACTGATTTTTTTTTTTTTTTTAAAAGAACTTAATGTACAAAGGACAATTACTGTTAAATCTTTTAAATGCTCGGTGGTTAGAGAAGGCCAGAAGCTGAATAGAATATTGTTTAATAACTGAGGACACTGTAACTAGTGACCAACTATGATAAGTCTGAATTACTTTCCCATGAACACTCGGGTCTTAAAACAGGCATAATAATAATCACCTTTCTCCAGGGCACTGTTAACTTCAGCTGTCAAATTCTTCTTTCTTTCTAAAATCTTATATTTTAAGTTCACACTTTCTTCTCCATCAAATAAATTTCAAATACAATGCTTAAAAATACCTTTTAAATAATTCTTTTTATAGTGGAAGCAGATAATTGCTAGTCTGATTTTTTCCTTCTCTACAACATGAGTTATAGCGTTCTACCTATTAATTCCTGCTTCAAATCTAGTGACTTCGATGTTTGTCCATTTATTTGAAACTAAAGAGCTGTGGTTAATCACTCTTCTGTCTAAAAATTCTTTTTGGCAAATTATTTAAAACTAGTAAGTCTTATTTGTTTTTTCTAGCATTGCTCTTGTTTGGATTAATTTCATCTAATATAATTTGATGTGGAAAGAATTTCATGATCTTAAAAAAAAAAATCAGTGTACTGGATAAAACAACTAAAGAAAAATTAAGTTGTGTACTGTTTCTATTTTAATTATTTTCATGATAGTTTCTCCATGGCTATTTTTACTAAAAGCTGTCCTGCACATGGAGTAATTGCAGTCAATACTTCTTTAGTTAGTTTCAGCTTTCAAACGCTGTATGCTTTTTCTTATTCAGCATTTAAGTAGTTAGTATCTTTTTAAAAACGTGTTTATAGCTAGAAGTTAAAAAAACCTGTCATAGGTAGTGTTTTCCAAGAGTGCTGTCTGTGAAAGTTTTGTTTCTTCTAGTTTTTGAAGAAATACCATAGGTATGTGTTTTTATGGTTTAAAACATTAATCCTCACACTGAGGATTGTGAAGATTTGTGGTCTTATCAGGTTGTGTTTCACAGTACACATTTCTGGGAGTGAAAAACTCTGTGCAGCTGTTCTCTTCTTACCACTGAAGAACAGTTGCAGAATTACTGCTTTTGTTAAAGAAATTTTCCATTAGTACTGTGTTCCTCTTTAATGATAACCCCTTTGGATGTGTTAAAACAACTTCTAACAAGCAATTTTGTTGTCACTGTTTCCTTCTATATTCTTCACTTTCCACTTTATGGAATCGCCTAGAGAACTTGGCAACTTCGATGCTGCTACAGAGAACTTCCAGAAGGCTTTGCTGCTAAATCAAAATCATGTTCAGACATTACAGCTCAAAGGAATGATGCTTTATCATCATGGTAGCTTAGATGAAGCACTAAAGAATTTTAAGGTAAGCAGGCCCTAAGTAAATACAAAATTAAGAAGTTTTGACAAGGACTAGTTTTCAACAAGTGCAATAAAATGGACAAATATCAAAGTTTTTCATTCTGAATGTGTATGTGCATTTGAACTAAAATTATTTTTTTGTGAAGTCTGTCTTAAAAGATGTATAAAACCATACAGTTTTTAGTTGAAAATGGAATTTTGCTAAAACTAAGATACTTCCTCTAACTGTTTTATGAATTTCTAAAACTAAGCTCTGGTTGAAATGTTTTATCTCTTTTTTGTTTTGTTTTGGTTTGTTTTTTTTAAACTGTTAATTGTGTTCTTGCTAATGTTTTAGTTTGGGTTGAAACCTAAAGTTTTTTAATATCTGATGGAAGAAGGAATGTAGTCTTTCTAATTTTAAGCTTAAAATAAGCATACAAAGTTCCAATATTTATCTAATTTTCAGAGGTATTTTTTTTGTTTTGAAAAACTCAGAATATGTTGCGATTCATTGAGCTTGTAAAAATGTGCATGTTTCCACAGGTAAACAAAATCTTGCCTCTCTCCATTGGCATTAAATAATGGCCTCATTTTGTAGACAAAACAATAAAGGCATATGTTAATCATATGTCCATATCCTTAAAACAAGGAATGAAATAAGATGTGGAAATGATTGTATCCCTTTCTGAATGAGTGTGTGCTTATCCCAAGGAGAACACTTTATGTGCATTATTACGTATTCACCTTCTGCAACACAGTTTGTAGATACTGGTGTAATTGAAAAGATATTTCAACTTTTAAGATGGAGATGCTCTTCTAAAGACATGTAATTGCTAGAAGAACCAGAGCATTAATTTTTGAATGATAAATATGAATTTGCTATGTGTTTAACATATAGTTAACAGTTATAGTTATATATAGTTATAGTTTAACAAATATAACTAACATAATGAAGTGTACTAATGCATGAACTAGTGAAGATATGGGTGGAAGAAATGACACGATATATATGTTGAACTAGCCAAAAATGACTTGTGCCTAATGTTGTCAGGAGCATGTTTTGTCTAAGTTCATTAAACTAACGTTTAAAGTTCTGTAGTGCTAATATCATTAGAGCAAACATGATCTATTTTGATAACAATTAAAGTGTGATCAAAAGCATATTTGCACTGGCAGTTCTTTTTTTTTTATTTGTTTGTTTTTGTTTTCCCTCTCCCTTTTAATGAAGCTGGAAATATTTTTTTTCTTACATTTGCTAGCAATTTAAGTGCTAAGCATCATTTGAAAGAAAATGGTAATGGAAGTGCATCTTAATAACTGGTCAATCTTTTCATGCAGTCTTCTGATCAAACAGGTTAATTTATTTGAAGATACTCATTCTCTCTGTCTTGATTTATGGGTGCTTTGTTCCTTTGATCTCCTAGAGATGTCTACAACTAGAACCATACAATGAAGTATGCCAGTACATGAAAGGTCTCAGCCATGTTGCAATGGGACAGTTTTATGAAGGCATAAAAGCTCAGACTAAAGTTATGTTAAATGACCCACTACCGGGTCAGAAGGCCAGTCCAGAATATCTGAAAGTGAAATACCTCCGAGGTAAGTTGGAATTGTTTTTCAGTTTTTTTCATTTTCTTAAATCCTTCGAGAACCCCAAAAGTGCGAACATGCTTGTAGTTATGGCCATTTTAAAGAAACTGTCGTACGTTCTCATGAGCCCTGTTGAGTATGTCCGTTTAAAAAAAAATGAACGCTGATTCTTATTTGTTCATACAGTTGAAAACTAGGGCCACAAATGAAATATACATTTCTGTATAATGGTGAAGATACTTAGTTGAAATAGACTTATTTCTGTCTTGGAAATTAGCTAATAGCAAAATTAAATTAGCTAAGAGTAATGACTTACTAAAGGCATGTTGGATAACTGACAAACATATAATCTGGTTTTTGTTTTTATGTAATTACGTAAGTAGGCTGATTATGCAAACGGTATTTAACTTTATTTCTTTCCTCCAGAGTATTCTAGATACTTGCATGCGCATTTGGATACCCCTCTTACGGAGTATAATATTGATATAGATCTTCCTGGAAATTTCAAAGACCACTGGGCCAAAAATCTTCCATTTCTTATAGAAAATTATGAAGAACAGCCAGGGTTACAGCCACATATAAAGTAAGTGATATTTTTTTTTTAAAGCCTACTCCGAATGTTTTTTTCAGTTTGACTCTTTACAGTGCTATTCTGAGGCATTATAACAGCGTAAATGTTTGATACTATATGAAAGTGGAATTCCACTAAGTGTGTAAATCCTTTTCAAAATCATAGGGAGTGGAGTTGGTTTAGCTCATAAAAGAGGAAGAATGAAACTTAGAATGATTTTTCTTCACTTATGTCTTCACATAATCAATAATATTCACATAAAGTTGTTTCATATTCTGTGGCGTTACTGATTAACTATTCTATTTCTTTTTTCCTGCATTTAATGTTAAGGAATTGATAAGTTTGAGATGCTCAGTGTAGCGTTATGTCGCACCCTTATTACAGTTTCTTGTTATGTGTTAAGTTTTTATTTTGTTATAGGTGTAATTTCCTAGATACTTAATAGATTTTTTTTTTTTTTTAATGGCAGCTGGGTTTCACTGGGGAAAAAATATTCTCCGGAGTAATTTAGATAACCAGTATTTTAGGAGGAGGGTGATTTCAGTCAACAAAGCAGGAGATTTATTAGAATAGGCTTCAAAAATATGTACCTAAAGGAAAGATAGCAATTTCTTCTGCTGTAAACTAGTTTCTAGATATATTTTCATGTATTCACTTTATTAAATTTTAAAAAAATTGCTAGGTTTTAAAAAATTTACGGCTTTTGTGTATATGGAATAGAATCCACCTTTTTAGCACAAGAAGCTTTTACAGAATTATGGGAGAAGTTACAGAGTAAGGTTACCAGTTTCTATACATATTCTTTTCTTACATAGTGTTAAAGTTCCTCAGGGTGAGTGTAACATGGAAGTATAATATATTATCTGTGAACTTTATTTAGCGTCAGTTATTATGAGCAAGTCTGAAGGTGAAATACTGGTTGTGACAGTAGTTAAGATTTGCCATTGGATTCAGTAAGACCAGGATTTCATTTGAGATATTGAGTGTAGCTGCCATGTACTGTGTATGTTCAGTGGGGTGGGAGGGGGAATGAGTGTTCTTTATACTGCTTTTAAGTATTTCTCACACAAAGGGTATTAATTATAAAATAAATAAATCTGTGTTTTACAACTTTCAGGACTTTTGTTGCCAAGTTATGTCTGATGCTTGTTTTTCTCCTTTTGTAAGAGATGTATTATTTCAGAATTTTGAAAGCTATAAGCCTGATGTGCAAGAGCTCATATGTGTAGCTGATCATCTGGGTTCCATGATGCAGTATGAGACACCAGGATTTCTTCCAAATAAAAGAATACATAGAGGTATACTGAAAATGCTCTGTAAATTTGAAGGGGGGGGGGAAATAAATGTGGTGATAATTTAATGCTATACCTTTTCTATCTGCAAATTAGTTTTATGCTCTGTTCCTTTCAAATCAGGTAAAAAGTTTAAAATGAAAATAATCATTATGTCAGCAGGGTCTTGACCTAATCAGGGACTGGAAATCATGATCTCCCAGATTTTATTGATGTTGGCAATTCTCTTCCTGTAAATACATCACTTTCCTGCTTCATTTTTCCTGTCTGTACAAAAACGAATGTTTGGCTCTAATTGGTTTTCTGTTGTTTGTCCCTCTCTCCTCTCCCCCACACGCCAGCGATGGGATTGGCCACTCTAGAAGTAATGCAAGCTGTGCAGCGGACTTGGGCAAACTCAAAAGTTCGGATGAATGGGAAAACCAGATTGATGCAGTGGAGAGATATGTTTGATATTGCTGTGAAGTGGCGAAGGTAATGGTAAAAGAAGAGAGAGAGCAAGCCTTATGTTAGTTGCAATAACGGTGCATGCTTCAGTTAATCAAAAGGCTGAAGTCACAGAAGACAAAATGAATGCTTGCTACGACTCTGTAACTAGAAAGTGTTCTGATAAAAACAGCAGGAGGGTTTAGGTACAAGGAGTGCACTTCTGAAAATACTCCATTTTTCTTCTTTTTTAAAAGAGAGAGAGAGTTGGGAATAGCATTTTCTGGTTGAGGCAAAGTTGTGAAAGACCATAGGATACATTGCAGCTTAGGCTAACAAAAGCGAACAGTTCCCAACTCCAGCAACATAACATACTTATGATTCGGTTTTTTTCTTATGGAAATCATACATGCATTTCAATAAAAACTTCTTCTTTGTGATCTCCAAATTCTAGCTTTTGCCTAAAATTATTCTGTGTGTGAACAAAGCTCAATTAAAAATATTACATGGAGTGAAATGTGTGCCAACATTAATGTCCTTTGTCTTTGTAGGATAGCTGACCCTGACCAGCCTGTGCTTTGGTTGGACCAAATGCCTGCCCGAAGCCTTAGCAGAGGTTTCAATAATCACATTAACTTAATCAGGTATGAGAGTTTTACCAAACAGCCTTCCCACACACTAAGGGATTGTACCAAAACTTACCGGCTGTTCATGAAACAGCATATTACAGTATTGAATGTATTTGTGCTTATTGTTTTGCTTTAGTATTTATTTTATATTTTCTAATGGAACATTTGGGGTTTGTGCACCTCAAATGTTCCCTCATGACATTTCCTCTTTTTCCTGAATTTCAGTTGTACAACTCAGTTATAGCAAGATCTAACTAGGATCCAGAAGATGCATATTTTTACGTGCTGTTTTTAATTCCCAGATTACCTGAAATGTAAAAATTATATTAAGTTCGTCACAGTTGTAAATTTTGCAAATGCTGCTTCTCAAAGATAGTGGTAGCAGTAATGAAACAATGCATTCTATTAGCTTTAATACCAATCTATAATCGAGAGGAAAAACATAGTTCTTTTAGTTGTTCTCAAAGCAGGCCAAAGTAAAGCAAAAATGACAAAATAAGTAACCTGTGAAAGGTAAGAGTTGCACTTTCAAACAAAGGTAAAATTTAAAAGATTCAACCACTGTTGTACGTTCCATCTTCTCCCATGCTGCAAGACTCAGTATTGTAGTCACGACAGTGCTACCTCCCATGAAGGGGTAGAAGTCTGAGACTCAATGTGGCAACATCACTGTCAATCACAGGAGCAGAGTGTGTTTGTGTAAGTAAATATGTAGCCAGGGTTCATCTTATTTCCCTCCTCCCCGCCACCAGCCATGGGAAGTATTTGATCTGTCATTCTGCTTTTATATCTATTTCTTTCTTTTTTGAGAAGCTGTGTGGAAAAAGGAGGATAAGGGAAGCAAAGCCTTCTCAAGAATTATTTCAGGCAGAGAAAAACAGTGATATTCTAATGTTCACATACAGAGGCTAGTGAGAATTTGTCCATGCTCTTCCTTCCACTCTAGGGAATGGACCCTAGCAGCCTCCTCTTTACTTTAGGGAGTGGTTACAAGGTAGCGTTAAACTCCAATGCAGATCAGTAGTTGCCTTGCAGGGTGTGCTGCTTCTTGAGCAGTCATATGCTCAGGCTTCTGTCTTCCCTCAAGCCAAGTGTTACCTTTGGTCTCCAAGCTCTGTCCATCTTTGCTGTTGCTGCATTTCTCTCTTCTCACACGTACCATGCAGCAGAAACCACAACCATCTGTACTTTGAGACAAGGATGCATTCCATACTTCATCTGTTTCTTCCTGTTTTTATTTTAAATGGGAGAGTAAAAGCTTAATTTCTAGGTGATCTGTGCTGGCAGAAGGGCATTCATGTAACAACATCTGATTACCATGCTGAAAATAACATTGAACATTTAATCTGGGGAAATGTGTCCCTGTACAGGATCTTTGTGTCAGCAACTCTGTTTTTCACTGGCCAAAGTACTTTGCTTGTTTTCCTCTCATCAGAGAATGCTAGCAAAACTCATGATTTACTGTTCTAGCTGTTCTGGTGATTTCATAGTAATCTGAAATGACCTTCATGAACACTCAGAATGGTAGGCCCACAGTGAATCTAATTCTAACCTTTTGGTTTTGGCTCAGCCTTGACTTTTGGGGATCTCATCAGCATTTTGGTTGTGCTTTTTTGATAGCTAAGTAGTGGTTGTCTGAAAATTATTGATTTGACGCTTTTTTGGAAGGAACAATAGCTCTGAAGCAGCCTAAATACTGCTGCCTTAGTTGTTGATCATACTTTAGTACTGGATGGTGATTGCATCCTTTTTGATTCTGGAAACCCGTACTTGTTTGCCTCACAAGTAATAGCTGCTTTCATTGGTCAGCTTTCATTGCTTTCATTGGTCAGCTTTCTGTAGTGATTTGTTTCTGCTTTTGGATTCCCTCCCAATGATTTCACAAGAGGTGAGGGATAAAAGAAATTAATATAATAAGTAGTAATAGGGGTTTTTTTAAAATTTATTTTACCTTTGAAGCATGTTCTAGTCCACTATGATTTCTAAATGACAATTTACTCTTAATGGATTATACAGATCTGTATAATCTCCTTCTTGTGTTACTCAGCTGTAAAGTGGCTGCTGATTGAAGATATTAATAGGCTACAGGGCCAGCACCTTTTTGTTGATAATTGAGATCGCTTTATGGTCTTGTGACTCTTTTTCAGGAACATATACGTTGCTTTATATTTGCCTTATGATTTGAAAGTTATTCTCATAACTAAGGCTGAATTCTTTCTATAGCATGACTACTGAAAACCAGGTGTAACAGTAGATTATTTAGGCTGACAAATGGCAGCCTTCATGGTTATTAAATATACAAAGATATCAGCTGTTCAGTCAAATAAGTAGTGTAACAATAGCAGTTGGGTGTTCTTTTGGTATTCATAACAGATCTAGTCATGCTGAGCTCAAGCTGTCTCTAGGTTTTGTTTGGTCTAAATTGTGCACCAGTAATTTCTGTGTGCAAAAATATTTGGATTAGATATCTCTTAACATAACCTTTTTCTTTACTCAGAAGTCTTTGCATTTAAAGTCCATTATTGTTCAGTGATTCCTGTCAAATGAGTCTTGGCAAGGAGGCACTAGCATTCAGTGACTGCTGAATTAAAGATTCTTTGTCAGAGTGGCAAAATGTTTGGAGAGTGTCAGAAAATGAAAACTTTGTTTTGGGTCAATTTGGGGACCTTTTGTTAAAGGTGTATAAGAAACATCTTGCACTTCACAATGTTTGATAGGCTTCCAGATCTTAACATTCTCAAGATGCACGTATATCGGCTGTCGTGGGTCTATAGAGAAGTGCAGCTTTGGCTTATCTCCTTTCTGGCTTAAATGATCAAAGCTACCAAGTTTCATTTGAAGTAGAGACAATGTTTTTGAAAGCTTAAGTTATTTTCATAGGCAAAATAAGGATTTGGGATCAGCTAAACATTAATGATATACTCAATGTTCTTATAAAAAAAATGAAGACACTCTCTGAAATACTGCTGCTTTTGAATGCTTGGTGGTAGTGTTTATTAAACAAGGAGAAGGAGTGGAAATAAAAACAAATCACTTCTGACCTCCCACCAAAAGTCTTTTCTTGGTACTACTGTTTCTGGATGGCCTTACATAATGATAGGTCTGGTTTGAATGTATTTTCCAAGATGCCACTAAAGGAAAATCCAGTTCCTTATACTGACACGCTTCTGCCTGTTGTACAGATATATTTTTAATACAGATGGAAAATGATGGGACGTACAACAAGGGCAAATTATGACCTCCCTTTCCTATGTGCAGATATGTATACGTTCTAATTCTGTTCAGTTTTTAAAGACTGATTCTGCCATTATTCCGAGACTAGGCCTACTAAAGTGTGAGACTGTCGAGTGAAACCTTAGACAGGGGCTTAAGCTGCCAAAAACGGCTTGGAGTGGAAAAAAAGCTAGGTGTACACACCTTCCTGTGATTGACAGTGGTTTTGCTTCCTCAGAGAGTGATAACATTTGCTTTATAAAATCTTGTTTTGTAGACTGGGAGAAGAGCAAGGACTCCTACAAATGCAATAATGGTATGTAATTTTTCCTCTCAGAGTGGTTATAATCCTAGCAGGTTTCTACCAAGTTTTTAATGTATATTTTTTCCTCAGTAGTCCAAGGGGAAAAACAACACATTTTTGATGTTTTTGTTTAACAGTTACTCCTTGTAACTGTTAGGAGTCAAAGCAAAATTACTTCAATATAGAGGGATGTAGGTGAATAAAGAAAAATGTATGTGGACTGTCAGAGCAGATCAGCATATCTATTGGCAAATATGTAAACTGGAGAGTGTTGGTTCTCAAAGTAAATCAATGTGCAGATTGAGAATTCTCTCCTAGTTCTGCAATATCTGCAAGTGTAAATAACTGTCTAGGGAAGATTATATCCTTGTACAAACTGATAATTATCATATAGGTAAGATTTACTGGGCATGGGCACAATGCACATGGGAAATATGCATGAAATGTAGTTTATCAGAGAACACCACCACTAATGATACATGAGCTTTTGGAAGCTCACTATGGAGTCTATATTCAAAGTGGGGTATGAGCAATTCACCACTTCAGATAAACCTCTAGTTCATTCCTTTAAGTTACAAAGCACCTGTGGATAAAATTCTGTCAAATATTAACGAGTAATATTTGTGTCTCAGCCCTGGAATGTTTGGTTGAAAAACAAGACTTGAAAAAAACCTTTTCTTTTCTTTGTAGGGGACAGGTCATTAACATGCGGTACCTGGAATATTTTGAGAAAATTCTTCATTTTATCAAAGATAGGATCCTTGTTTATCATGGGTAATTTACTGATTTCCCCCCCCCCTTCACTCCACTTGTAATACTGATTTGAAATTTACATAAGACTCATTTCAGAAAGTCTGAGGGATATTTTCTTAATTTTAGTACGTTTGAGTTTTCTTAGTATCTATATTTTCTATTGGAAAATGAAAAATCCTATTCATTGCCACATAAAGAAACATAAACTAATGGGAAAAACCATTTTGAATTACAGTATACCTAGAAACTAATAATGGTGTTGAATTTGTACTCACAGTTTTGGCATGAATGGGTCTCAATTATTTCTAAAAAACATGATTTATTAAAGATGTTTGGTTTCTTCCTGGTAGAATAGAGTACAGTTTCTCTGAATATTGAGATTAATTTATTAAATAGTAGGAGTAAGGAAAAAAGAAAAAAGTTATAGAAGGTAATTTTAATTGAAACTGGTGTTTGACAAGTGGTTTTAAAGGAGCAGAGAATCTTTACTACCTGTTATGTAGATGGGTTGGTAGACTTTGTCCTGGAACAGAAGACAGTTGTAGAATCTTGAATGAAAGAATGCGACTAAAGGTAATCTGAAAATTGATGTTGGCATCTTCTTCAAACTTTGATCAGTTTTTTTATGAGTAAAATGTCTTCCCTGCCTGTGGCTTATTTGTGGCAATGCTGTTCTGATAACGTTAAAAATTAAGAAACTCTTTTAGCTTTAAACCCTCTTTTTTTTTTTGGCCTGGTAACTTTTATTAAATATTAAGTTCTGTTTTTCAATCTCATTATGCTACTTAAATATCACAAAATGAGAGTGCAGAAAATCCTTATAAGAGTTGAAAACATTTAAGTGTTAGAAAATTTATGATAGTTGCTGAGGATACCTAAGTTCTGTAGTAACTGGGAAGTCTGTCCTCTGTTGGGAGAAAGTTTGTTCAGAGTGAGCCAGCAGCATTTAACCTTAAACCAGAGCAATTTGTGCTGTTATTTTTTTAAAATAATTTTGTTCTTAAAAGGTGTGTGTACAGTAATTACTAAATATTAGAGCATGAGTTTAATAGGTTTCTTCACGGTCCAGCTGTGCCTGCATCTGTAGTATTTACATACCTTTGAGGCTACACAGATGCATATATTTTGAGAAGAATATTTCTAACATTGACTCTGTTCCTCTTTCATCTTTCCTCATCAACAACCCGCTGCCCACATGCACTCATGCAAACACTGTTTAATGCTTTAGAGTGGCCAACAGCAAATAATAAGATAAACCTGAAGTTTAGGTTTGAAGCTGAAAAAATAAGCTGAGCTGATATAGGAGGAAATTACTTTTTGAAGAATAGGAGAGCATGTGGCCAAGTATGAAGGACCTAATTTTCAGAAAAGAAATAATTAAATAACTTTCAATAACTTATTCCACTATGGCTAATTAGGTTAAAGCTAGATGGATTTCCAGAAATGCTACATGTGTTCAACCATTGCGATTCCATATTTAATTTTTTTCCAGTGCTAATAATCCAAAAGGACTATTAGAGGTTCGAGAAGCTTTGGAAAAGGTACATAAAGTAGAAGATCTTCTTCCCATAATGAAGGTAAATTAAAGAAAAACTTCAAAATATGATAAAAATAATAAAAGGTATTCCAGGAGATACGCAGTTCCTCAGAATATAACCATTGTGTATAAGCTTAAAATGAATGACTGGAAACACTAACTCAGTTTATTTCAAATCTGCTTATGTAGTGTATGACCTTCTCTTTGATATATGCAGCCATGTGATATATATTTGAAAGGCTTGGCCTAACTGTGAATTGGTAAAGAAATGACAGGAAAACAAAATGTTGAATGTAATTCTTTGAAGCCAGCCTTATCAACCGGGAGGGTTTGTGGTCAGATCCACCATGATGGGCTCATGGTGTGCCTGTGCAGTACGAAGGAAAAAAATTGAAGATGTGTATCTGAAAGATGAGGAACATGGAAGCTCTTTTTACCTTAGGTTCATTGGTGCAGGTCAGTACATGGTGGGGCTGGCAGGGGGAAACGGGGAAGTAGTTGCCCTTAGCGATTGATAGCTGATCTGAAATGAAGTCTTGGTTTACGTTCTTGTGCTTTGGAAGACTGTCAGGAATGGGGAAACCTGCAGGTTTTCTTCTCGGTGGTGGTGGTCTTTGTAGAAAGGCTTGGAATATATGACGTGCAAAATTATTTATATTCTTATGCCAACGCAAGTAATAAGGCTTGAGCTGGGTTTAAGTGAAAGGTCCTCCCGCTCTCCCCTCACTCGCCCAAATTAATCTAGGATGAGCAGTGTGTAAGTATTTGGGTTTGGGGAAACAGTTACAAAGTATTTCTTTTTAAAGGATTGGACAGGATTTTGTCTAGAATGGAATAAAACTTGAAAGAAACACTCATGCTAAATACAGACAAGCTCATTGCTTTCTTATCAAGTGTGTCCACATTGCTATTTCATGTCTAAGCAAAGCTGACAGATTGCCATAGGACAGAGCTCTCTGAAGATATATTGCTGCTGCTACTGGTAGGCCATCTGAGTTTGGATTTGTTTCTGGTAATAGTACTCGCTCACTTGTGCACTGTGGATATCTTTACAGAAGCTACATGGCTCAAGCACTAAATTTTTTTATGGAGTTTTTTAATATGTATTACTAATATAAGTGTCTTCAAAGAACATACCATAATTTTGGATGTCCTTTTTATATTACTGTCTTGTTCTTGGCCTTGAAAGATGAAGCCAAGTGGCTACTAACTGAACCTAAACAAAAACTTGTGATGAAGGGGTAGTAGATATTGGGGTGGATAGACAATTAAGTGTTCCCCACTGACACATAAATGTACACACAGGGCCCTGTAGAGCTCCTAATATGTCTACTGTTGAATTGTCGGCCAGAAAAAATGCTATTAGTGGAGTTAAAAATATAGGTTAGTCCAAGAGGATGATGTAAAATATATAAACATAATGGACTATACGTGACTTATTTCAAAATAAATGTCCCAACTGCAATGTCTCAACTCGCAGCAAATATTCTTCTTGGTTTTCATAACCTGTACATTTTGCTCTGGTTTGAATCTCCTGTATCCCATTCTAAATTGTATTGAAGTGGAATGCTGTTTCTCAATAGAGGCTTTTAGATTTGTTTCTTTAAATGCAGATTCTTTCTTTAAACAAAACATCCTGGATCACAAGTTCTATCTTAAAATAAATAATTGCCTGAGTAATTCATTCAACACTATTGCATAATAGTCATTAATAGTGCCTGTGTAAAATGAATGTCTGCTAATATTGATGTAGTTTGGTTATTCGGGTAGCTGGGGAATGTTGTATGCCAAAAGCTGGGCTTTTGTCTTTACTTAAATACAGCTTTGCCTGGTTTATGCAACTCTGGCTAGCTATGGTATTACACTTAGAGAATGTGGCTTTGTAAAATTCTTAAACTTTGTGATATTTTTCCTTCTGATGAGGATAAACATTAGTTGAAACTGGATCACAGTTAAGAAATTGTTGCTGTGAGCTGTATTGTGGAATTCACACTTAGACTAATGCAGCTACTTCTTAGTGTAAACATAAAACAGGCTCTCAAATTCCTGCTTTTGCATTTACATTGTTACACCAAAAGGTTACTATCACCATGAAACTTGGGGAGAAATCTGTACAACTCAAACTGCTTTGTACAGTTGCTTTTCATAAACAGTGCCACTTTATATTCGCTATACAGTTATAAAGTTGAATGTCAATATGCCTCATTCAATATTTATGATTTCCATTCAGTAGGAAACAAAAGATAAATGAAACAAGGTAGTTGACAGTAACTCTTTGTCCTGTTCCCTCAGTTTGTCTGTTTTCATTTCTGCTCCATGTATTTTAGGTGTTTCAAAACAATAGCTAGGTAGTCTGTCTGTGTTCACTCTAATGTTACTTTTTTTTCTTTTGAAAGCAGTTTAACAGTAAAACAAGAGATGGGTTTACTGTGAACACAAAAGTCCCCAGCCTCAAGGATCAAGGGAAAGAATATGATGGATTCACAATTACAATAACAGGAGATAAGTATGTTTGCTATTTTCAGAGGTTCACATACATTAAGTAATGATGAAGTATTAGCAATTAATCTTCTCAAATGCCATTTCTACTTGCATAAAGTGGGTTTTGTTTTTCAGTAGTGGCATTTTTGTAAATAACGAAAAAAATTGTTGATTTGAGGACTTCTGATTCCTGTTGTGTTCCCTAACAGAAAGGGAATATGGATAACATTGATGGAATAGGCCAAGTTGAGATGATTCTCTAACATACAGCACAAAAGTGAAGAGAGACCTTGTTATTCGTTTTAGACTATTAAACCACTGTTGTGGTTTAACCCCAGCCAGCAACTAAGCACCACACGGCTGCTCGCTCACTCCCCCCTCCCTGGTGGGATGGGGGAGAGAATTGAAAAGGGTAAAAGTGAGAAAACTCGTGGGCTGAGATAAGAACAGTTTAATTGAAGTAAAATAAAATAGAATAGTAGTAATAAACAGAGCATGATGTCATATGGTATGGCATAGCCCTTTGGCCAGTCTGGGTTAGCTGCCCTGGCTGTGCCCCCTCCCAGCTTCTTGTGCACCTGGCAGAGCATGGGAAGCTGAAAAGTCCTTGATTTAGTATAAGCACTGCTTAGCAATGACTAAAATATCGGTGTGTTATCAACATTATTCTCATACTAAGTCCAAAACACAGCACTATACCAGCTACTAAGAAGAAAATTTACTATCCCATCTGAAACCGAGACAGCTATAAAGTGCTTAAAGGAGAAAAAAAATCTCAAAAATCTCAGTCTTTATCCTTATCAAAATACATTTCTTGTTGTGAGACCTTGTCTGTTACGGTGACTGAAAAGTCCTGAGTGGAATGGAAATTTCTGTAATCTAAGAATGGAAGAGACTCTCTTCTATTTGCATTTTTGGCCTTTTTTTAATGTTTATTTTTGAGATGTTTGCAGACCTTCTATCTGCAATTGCTAGTTTAGATAGTACCTCAATGTATGAGGATACAATCAAGAGGCTTTGGGACACTCTTTGGGTGAGATAGTAAATTTCTCACTTTATGGATCCTGGCTCCTTGTCTTCCTGAAGAATGAGCATTAATGTGAAGCTCAGAAGCTCTGTCCCACTACTAACTAAAAAACTTTGGCTTATGGGATTTAAAATTCTATGCATTGGAATTTTTCCCAAAACTTGCGTGCTTCCAGTGAGTGGTGTGGAGGCCAAACTTCTCATCTAAAATGCTAACATATCTCTTGAGTTTTAGTTTTGCATTCTAAATCATATGCCTATATACAGTGAAATAGCATTAAATATACGGCCTCACTGTCTTGGGGAAAATATTTTGGTGTCAGTAAAATGGTCTGACTTTGTTCTGCACCAGCTTTGTTCTGTATCAGTCAGCCTGTTTTGATCCATAGTTTGTAACTATGTTTTTATACCAGCACAATTCCATTCTGGTAGTTTAAAAGTTAACAAAACTACGCTTTATATTCTGTACAAAAATCTCAAGCTCATGGAGATATTTTAAAATTTCATATTTCTTATTTTTTACCTACACTTTTAAGTGAAACGCTAGTACTTGTCAGGTATTCTTCAATGGAAATACTTCATCTGTGATTAGATAGCAATCTTTATGTATTCTTTCAGACAAACTTACAACGTGACAAAATGTTTTTAATTCAGTGATTTTTTTTTTTTTTTGTAACTAAGAGGGGCAATGCACGTAATCTTCTGCTTAAGGAAAAATTATAGGAAAAAGGTTATGATGCGGTATTTAACTGCAGTACATTTGTAACTTACCCTGGATATTAGATTATGCCTCAAGTTCTGTTCAAAAAATTTTTTACCTCCTTTTTTGTTTCATCTACTTGATAGGGTGGGGAACATATTGTTTTCAGTAGAAACTCAGACAACAGAAGAGAGAACACAGCTGTATCATGCAGAAATAGATGCGCTATATAAGGATCTAACAGCTAAAGGAAAAATTCTAATTCTGTCTGCAGAGCTGGGGGTAAGGCTGTTTTAATGGAAATTATTAATTCCTTGATAAAATTCTATTATGTTTTTATACCTTCTGTTTAACAGTCAATGTTCTAATAATTTTTGACAGAGATCTTAGGTAATAAAATCGACTGCTTGCTTAAACCCAGTTACGACAAATGTTATAAGAAATTGCTGTAATTCTGTCTGCTACTTTAAAATTTGCTGTGCTTTGCTGCAGTACTAGAGAGAGTCCAGACAATGTCTTAATATCACAGTGTTCCCCCCCCTTTTTTTTTTTCCCCCTTTTCTTTTTCTTCCTCCTTGTTTTCTTTGTTTTTCTCATGGGTCTGTGTTCACTGTTTCATCATCCTTATAAGCACTGCTTAGGATTTGGCTCGTGGTAGCTACATATCAGATGAGAAGTAACACGACTGCATGAGAAGCACTAGAATTGTGTTTGTGTTGATCTGTATTGCAATGAGAATCTGACTACATTTGAGCTTGCGCTTTCTGGTTTTTGTCCTTTAACACAGTATAGATGAACTGTGTTTCACCTAAATTTTGAAGTTAGAACAAAACAATTTGCTTAAACATCTGTTAATCAGACTTCAACTTCTCAGCTTAACATTTTTCAGATTTGAAATGGTTCTTTAAAAAAAAAAAAATCACAGTACTGTGAGACTTTCCAATATGTATTCCTTTATATGGTATTACCTGTCTATTAAATTATCTTTAATTAACTTTTTTTTTCCTCTTGCTTAGGAAGTAGATGCTGTTTGCAACTTGATCCTGTCATTAGTTTATTACTTCTATAATTTAATGCCACTTTCAAGAGGATCTAGGTTAGTGATTGTCTGTATCATGTCTGTTATCTTGGATGCACACTGTAAAACATCCTTGTGTTCAGCATCTTAATATATTTTTTAATATAAAAAAGCTAAAAAGCTCTAGGTCAAGCTGTGTATGCACAGTCTCTCATTTTGTGCTGCCATGACAATGGATACTGACTTAGTACTGTTTAAAAAGCTAGTTTGTAATTGCTGATGGTAACTACTCATAGCTGCATGTATGTGTAAAATGATGAGTAGTCTGTATTTATAGACTTCAGCTCACACATTGAAAAGTGTCATTTTTAAATAGTAATGTTTGGGTTCCTAATCCATATTATGTTACACCACTGTAATTTCACTCAAGAAGCTTTACCAAAACATGTATTTAAGATGAAATATACTTTAAGATAACTTATTTTAATAAAATACACTAAAATATTGTTTTAGAAATTTATTGCAACTGTTAGGGTCACCAAGTGAAACCCTAGAATAAAGTCCCATATGTGACATATCTCTCCAACTGAAATTCTAGTTTAATTCAAACCTGGCTACATCTAATACTATTATGAATCTCTGTTCCACAAAGCACTTAAGATCTTTAACCTTATTATTAAACATAGTTCAGTAGAAAATAAAATTAAAAAAATCCTGAGAGATTTTTATAATCAGACTTTGCCTTTATCTTACAGAACGTAAAAACTAACAGAAATTCCGTCTCAGTTCACAATTAAAAAAAAAAAGTAAATTAAAAAAGAAGTTAAGTAACTGAACAGCTTTACAGTGTCTCCAGCTCTGTTGCAGTAGAGTTCATAAACTCTTCTGGGCTACAGCTAAGCTTCTTGGGAACAGGAGTTTGCTTTGTTTTCAGGTCTATGGAGTCTTAAGAACTTGTAAGTCTGAAGTTATGATTCTGACTACTGTAGAAATAGTGCTCTTCAGTAGTTAAACTCCATAGGATCGTAACTTCATTCCAGGGGTGTTGGAAAGTAACTGTCACTTCACTTTTTAAGTGTTTCATGCTTGTTTTTACTTCTAAAACAAAGTAACTAGCACAGTAACTTTTACTAGCCTTCCATGAAACAGTACTATATTCTATTTGTTATGTAGTCTAAAATAGCATTATGGAAAGAATTCTACTGTACTTTGTTGGTTTTGATTTTTTTTTTTTTTTTTTTAGTGTGATAGCTTATTCAGTGATCATGGGAGCACTAATGGCAAGTGGAAAAGAAGTATCAGGAAAAATCCCTAAAGGAAAGGCAAGTATCAAAATCACCCTTGATGGAAGAAATAATACTTGTAAATATGTGAGGAAGGGGCTGTAAGAATGAACAGAAGTTGCACACTTGTTTACTGGAAATGGGTTAGCTGCACACTACGATGTCTTGAAGCCTGAGAGAGTTTTGAAAATTTCATTGCTGTTCTGACAGCAGGTGAGACTTAGAGCTAGTGTGTGCAATAATTTTGGTTAGTCAAATTGTAGCAGGTTGTGTCCCACAGTAGTTACATATTTGTAACTGAAGCATTTCTAGTGTGCTGAGCTGCTCTTTTCAGTTTTCTTTGAGAAGGGTTCTGAGAATACTTGGGCAGAATTAGTGACTTCTGGCACACAGCAGAAATTTTCTGTCTTTGCTCTCAATGTATTCCAGAGCATTTAGCACTTGGTAAGTGGAAATGTATTTGCAACTTCTCTTGATTTCTCCTTCCCCTCTGTATTCTGCTTAATTTAAAATAAGTCCTAGTTTTTAAGTGACTACATTTGAGTATTATACCACCTTGCTCAATAAAGGGTTTCCTTTTCAAGTGTTGGTCTGTTAACTGCGTTAACCTCTTCAGCATGAAAGGGGTGAGAGCACCTCTGACTCTTTAACGTATTGTCAAAAGAATCAGTGAAATTCCAGTGAGAATCAAAGTTGTTGAAGAAAATATCCTGTGTGAATAACTGAAGAAAGAGCAACTTTCCCTTTTGTTCTAGGAAGCCCTGAAAACAATGAAGTTTGTCTTTTCAGTACAATGAATTCCTAGTAGCTTTTAAGAGCAAACTGCACTAGCCTAGTAGCAAGAAAGCTTCCTTTTCAGTATGCCATTAAGCTGGCATCTTCACTGTTCTGTGAGAGTTCAAGCTAAGGTAAAAGACTTATGTGGGTTTTCCTATGCGTCTTCTTAGGCCTTAATAGGGTAGTGCGTTTTGCTGACTGATTTTATGCAGGCAAGCCAAGTGTCAGGGTTACTAAAAAGCAGGATTTCTGACTTACAGGAAGCTTTGGGGACATTTTTACATTTGAGGGTTTTTCCTGAAACAGCGTGCCTGAATTAGAACAAAACCATTTTTTAGAAAAGTTTTCACCAGCTGGAAGAAATTGTTTTCCCCAGTTGAATGAAAATGGGAGATTATTTTTTTTTTTTACCCGATTCCTTAGAAGGATATTTCTGGTCCCAAGCTTATGACAGTATGCATTATCAGACTGCTCTGAAGACAAAGATGCCCAGTAGTCAAGAGTCCTGTTGTTGCCTGGCAGGTCAGTCAGTAGCCACAGCCAGTGTAGCTTCCAGTGTTGGTTGTGGTGGGGTGTGCAAACCCACAGAGAGCTTCAGTGCCTGGCATGCGTGCTGACTTCCAAATTGGTGATGAGGGACGAAGTAGTCTGGGCACAGACTAGTTAGTAAGCTGACTCCTGCCTTACCAAGAATAGAGGTAGCATGCTCTCAGAACCCTTCCTTGAATTCAACCAAAGTTCACTGAACCACAAATGTGTCAGCTTAAATGTTTCAGTATTAGTGAACCAGTGTTTTTGACTGAACATTGTCTTGCTGAAAACTGATTTTCAGCTGTAGATATAGAGTTGCACAGAGTTTTTGGCTATAGGTAGTCAAACTTGTCTGAAAATCCACTGTGGAAGGAAGTAATACAGAATGCCTGGAAAGTCCAACATAAATCTACCAATCATGTGATACAATATTTTGCAGAATACAGTATGTAGAAATGAGAGATATCCCCATTTTATTTGGACATTGTAATAAAGGGCTGAAGACAGTCAATGTTTCCTGGCACTGGCTCATTAGTATAAACATCTTGTTAAGAGATAAAAAAATAAATAACTGGATTTTGTCACAGAAGGAAGGATATGTTTTTAAAATTGAATTTATGTATTAAGAATATTTGAGGATTAACTTCCTGAAATTAGAGAACTTAAAATGTCTCTAATTTCTTAAGATCTCTTCTATTTTGTTGCATTTTCAGCTGGTTGATTTTGAAGCAATGACAGCACCAGGGTCTGAAGCTTTTAGCAAAATAGCAAGGAGCTGGATGAATCTAAAAAGGTAAATCTTTTTGTTCAGGTGGGGGGTGGGGAAATAAAATATGAAAGACTTTATATGTAAAATTTAAACCTATACTAAAAAATGTTTCTTAGAAATTGAGTTTAGTAAATGATTCAGTGTGTTTGTTAACACTGTTTAGGAATTGATAAGACAAGATTTGAATTTAAGACAGTAATTTATTTCTAGTCTAACAGAGTAGTTAGTAGCCTAGACATTGTTATGTGAGTGTTATCCTCTGAGAAAATTATTTGGGTTAATATTTTCCTCATTTTGTCCAGTGGTCAAATTTGCCTTTTTATCATTTTTTTATTAGTAGTAAATCTGGTGACAGAGTGAACAAAGCAGGGGAAAATTTTAACTTGTGGGTGTTTTGTTTTTTTTTTCTCCCCATTCTTAGGGATCTCTTCAAACTATATATCAAAAGTCATTTACTTATCCTTTAGTGCTATTTTAGTTTGGAGAATAAGTATTTTCAAAGCAGATGGAAGTTTTGAATATAGAGAATTAAGTTACTTAGTATAACTGCATGACTTTTGTATAATGCTTTAGAATTTTGATTTTCATAAGAATTGATTTTCGAATACTGAACACATTAATTCCTTGTCAGTATTATGAATCTGGTGCATTTGATTTGTTCCTTAGTGGTTATTCCCCATACAAAATCTAAAAATCTAGCCAGAGACAAAACCAGTTTTAGTATCCTTCAAGTCAGGGTCAAGACACTTAAAGGGTGCTGAGAGAACTGGCCGATGTCCTTACAAGGCCACCTATAATCTCTGAAAGGTTGTGCACGTCAGGGGGCGTTCTTGGTGACTGCAGGAAAGGAAATCTTGCGTCCATCTTCAAGAAGGCCAGAAGGACGACCCAGGGAAACTATAGGCTGGTCAGCCTCACTTTGGTCCCTGGGAAGGTCATGAAGTGAGCCCTCTAGGAACGCATTTCAGGGTATATGAAGGAGAAGGTGACCGGGCACAGTCAACAGGGGCTTACCAAACGTTGTGTGACCCAATGCGATTGCTCTGTGATAAAACGACTAGATTTGGGGATGAGAAGAAAGCAATTGATGTTCTTTATTTTCACTTCAAGGACTCTCACAATGCTCATACCAAGATAGCACATTATGGTCTGGACGAATGGACAGCTAGATGGGTAAAAAGCTGTTTGGACAATCAGATTGAGGGGGTAGTCAGCACTTTAGACCACACCTAGAATACTGCATCCAGTTTGGGGGCAGCTGCAGTAAGTGCTATGATGAACTGGAGCAAATTCAGTAGAGAGCCCCCAAGATGGTCAGGGGGCTGGAGCACATGCCTTAACAGGAATGAATTGGGCTTGTTCAGCCTGGAGAAGAGAAGGCTTTGACCTAACAGCAGCTTTGCAGTACTTGTGAATATTGAGAAAATGGAGTCGAACAGTGCTTGGTGGGAGGACAAAAGGCAACACACCTTACTTGAAATGAGGTTCAGACTGAGCATAATCTTTTCACCCTGAGGGGAGCAGGCTGCCCAGAGAGGCTGTGCAGTCTCCACCCCTGGAGATTTTGAAGACCTGACAGGATAAAGCCCTGACACCGTGGTCAGACTTTGCAGCTGACCTTGCTTTGAGCAGGATGTTAGATCACAGACCTCCTGAGGTCTGGTCCAACCTGAGTTATTCTGAGAGCCTGAGGAATTCTGCAGCTGCTGTTAGTGCCAAATATCTCATACTGATTAGTGTTGTTTAACTTCATTATCCGTGGTTCTTAACCTGGTAAATTGCACTAGACTATAAAATCTCTTCCTAAATGAGGAAGGCTATTAAGAAAACTCAAGGACATCTTTGTTGGACTCAGGCTAAAAATCTACATGGAAATGCGGTCGAATTCAGCATTTATTAAGGAGTGACATTTTTAAACTACAGTGTAGCAAGTTGTGGTTTTTGTTAAAAGTAGTCTGCACAAATATTGTGACTTGGTTGTCTTGGAAATATAAAATATTTATTGTTCCCACAATTTTTTTACTCTAAGTCTCCTAATTTATATACTCAACTTCTTTCTTAATCTTCTGTTCATGTCCCTTTTTTTTTTTTTTTTTTTTTTTTTTTTTAAGACATATCTTACTAAAGGGGAACTTCTCTCTTGGGAGCAAAGTCAGCTTAAGCTGTTTTCAACCCTACCTATGTGTTTCTGACCTTCTCAGTTGTACTGTTGAAATTTGTGGGAATCCATAGCAAACCAGATCAGGGAACTGATTTGTGTTAAAAATAACCTTGCCAAAACCAAAATTTATTTTTAACTGAAACCATTTTGTAGCATAGTCCCACTGATAGCATTGCTGGCTCAAATGAGAGATGTATAATGGGTGAGGAATGAGCCAGATTGGAGAAAATGCTAAAATTGGCTTTGCTTGGTGCTGAGAAAAATATCTGTAGAACCACAGCCCAAAGGACTTGAAGTAATAACATGATGGTAATTAACCTGAGTGGTTAATTTGTCTGTGGTAGAAGAATAATAGTGGGTAAGGTAAGTAAGGCTTGAAGACTTAAAGCAATAAAATTTTGCTTTAACTTCTGCTGCTTTCGAAGGTTCTTTTATGTAGTCATTATTTTCATTCTGTATAGTGAGTGAGGAGTCACGAGAAGCAAGAGCTGGTTGTGGGCAACAGATTCTTGACTTCAGGTCCCAAATTTGTTGGAGAAGGGGATGAAGAGAAGTATAAGCTAATGTGTTAACTTCCAGGTAAATCATAAAACTTGGCAAAAGATAAATAATTTTCTTTTTTTCTCCTCTTTCAGTATTTCACCTTCTTACAAGAGCCTACCATCAGTATCAGAAACTTTTCCAACCCTGAGAACAATGATTGAAGTACTAAATACAGACTCATCTCATTGTCTAAAAAAAACTATAGTTGTTGTATAATTTATACAAATAAAAGGCCAAGAGGTACTGCTTCATAAATTATTTTGAAGGGGAAATTATGGTCAAAATGGTTTGGTTTTGTTTTGTTTTTAAATAGAGTAAACTTATTTGACTAGTTATCACTAGAATAAAAGGAATCTTTCCGTGACCAATAATATTAAAAAGGAAAAAAAGAAGTAGAACAGCTGATTTCTTGTACTGAGACATGCTCTAACAGGAAATACAGTTGTTCAGGGGTCAAACCGAAGAGCAGTAATAAACTTCTATCAGAGTTACGATCTAAACATACTTCAGGTGAAAATTTATTTAAAAAAAAAAGAGGACTAATCTGTGTTGGAAATACCGCTATAGTACTTTGCATTTGGGTTTTGCTTTTTTTTTTTTTTTCAAAGCCTCTGTCTTCTGCATGGAAAACTTCATGAGCTGTACATGTGTGAGTAATTGGTAAAAACACAGGCGTTTCATATAATGCAATCCATTGAAGGAACAGATGTCAGCTTAAAAGAATGGGTTTCAGGAAAACATCATTTGGAAACAAAAACAAACAAATGATGTATTTGGAGTTGGGCTTTTGGTGAGTAAATGTCAGAAACGCAGCAACTGTACATCAGTCTCCCTTTCCAAGTACCCATTGGTGGCGGTGGTTGGTAAAAGATACCAACAGATGGACAGTTTATCGGGAGAGCTAGCTAGGGCTCCTTGAGTTGTTGTTGTTGGAAGGGCCTGGCAGCATTCTGGAAAGGCAAAGCTTCCTGTAGGGCAGGGCTAACTCAGTTCAAACAACATGGACGGTACTGTGAACCAATTTCTGGTTGTAATAGGGATAGTATTATTTCTGGTGAGTCCTAACTGAATTATACTCATCTTAACCTGATAAAGAACTCTAAAGTCACAGAGCTCAAGCTAAGTGATTTCAGAAACAGCAAGCAATGGTGGGGCAAAGGTCTGGTTTCCTCAGTGGCTTTGATCAATTTTTTTTTTCCTGCCTGAATATTCAGCATTTCAGAAAAATGTACAAAACTGTTCTGTTTTAGATATAGCTTTCAACTTGTTTAATATTGATGGTCTAAACTGTGGTTCTGTTGCTGTCATCTTTCATACAAATACTCGTTTACTTTGCTTGCTTCCAGTTTTCCAGCGGTTAGGGCTTTGTTGGGCAATTGCAAATACCTGTCCTAACCATGTAATACAAGATATGCTAAAGAATGAGTTATTTACCGAGGGAGAGGGGAAAAAAACATCCTGCATACCCCAAGCGTACCAATAGCAGTGGTGTGGTTGCTTTTCTCTGGCTACAGCACAGGGCAATCTCAGTCCCCTCTTTAATGAGGAAAGAAGTGCAGCAAAGCATCAAGAATGTTGATACAGGTGACCTACTTTAATAGTGGGACTGAAAACAGGGTGGATTTATGGAATGGAGGGTCTTTTTTTGATTATGCTACACAAGTATTTGTCAGATTTGAAGTGGACTCTGTGTGTGTGCGTTTAAGTTCTTGGGGGAGTGAGGTGCCACAAGGTAAGTTAGAAGCTGCTGTGAATGCTGAAATCCATTATAAGAAAAGCCCTGTTGATTTAAAGTTAGCTTTCACTATTTGTTACCTCGATTACTGTCAGAGTAGGACAGCCATGGGTAGCTAGGCCTGAGTGTTCGCATGTATAAAGGATTTTCACAGAGATAGAAAATGAATCCTGGGAAGCGGATGTATGCTACGTCTACGTTAGCAGGAAGTGCGTCCCACCCAGTATGAGCAGCTCACTTCCCACGCTATGTGCATTTCAGAGGTTTTACTTTTGTCTGCTTGTGTAGTTTGTGAACTGGCTGCTCATTGCATTTGGAGCGCATGTTAGCAATGCATCTTCCAGTTTGGATGCCTTTTGGATGAAACGATGTGTGTTCTGAAACCTCTCTGCACTGTGAACCAAAATGTGAGAAGTGGAGAAAATGAGGAGACCTGCTTCAAAAGTATGCTCCCGATACAAATTAAACCAGTGGTGCATATATACCCCTGGGAACTCTTTCATGAACTCTCATATTCTAAGATTGTATGTTGAAAATACAAGGGTAGGGA